GTGTGTGTGGTTTCAGACTGCTTTGTATGTAATCAACCCAGTATCTGTTACTTGAGATATCTCAATCCATTAATTTCTTGAACAGCTCTTTCATATGTTTATTTTCTAAGTAATTTTATGCTAAGTACATGTTTTAGCATTAGCATTTTATATCTTTGTTTTATTTTACTTTGTGACTACTAATACAAATATAGTGCATGTATGGTTTTAAGGACTAGATAAATCATATGTACAAGTTAAATGAATGTTTATGAGCTAGTAGGAATAGTAAAAAAGTGTGTGGTTGCAGAGAAAGTATACAAGGAGAGTGCATTAGGATTCATGTCAGATGTAAGGCTGGAAGAAATGTCTGAATATATCTTGTGTATGTGTGTGTGCATGTGTGTGCTGTATTTCTAAGGATCTGCAAAAGGGTGATGAATTATGAATTATTGGTGAAGGTTAGAGTTGAAATAAGGCAGTAGAATAGTCTGCTGTTGGGTATTTAGCTTTACTAAACAGATTAGTAGTGTAGATATTGAAAGCTATTTTAGTATAGGTGCTCATCTGTGTTAGTGAAAGCTACTTATGATTTGGATACTCCTTTTGTATCCATATTTATTAGGTTTATGATTGGTTGTTGTGTGAATGTGTTAGTAGTTTGGCTAAGTCAGAGTGGAGGGCAATAGAATGGAAAAAGTAAGAGGGAATGAAGTAAGAAAGTAGGGAAATGATTGTAAGGTTAACATTCATATTCAGAGATTAGGAGAAATGGGAAGCTGAAAATAATGTCATTGTTTATTGGAATTATAGGGGCCTTTTATGAAGGAATTAATATTTGTACAGTGTGTGTGTGCTCATAATGTATGTACACTTTATACTATTAAACTTGTATGTATGTATGGTTGCATGTATGCTTTTAAATATGTGGTATTTATGATTTCTCTGTCTTGCTTGTACTTACTGTGTGGTGATGGCACTAACATTGTTTTTTCTTTTACCCCTCTGTCTCTTGCCTCCCTGGACTTGATGCTGTTTTTGGAAATCAGGCGTCAGTTGTAAGTATGAATAGTGAATAAGTGCATTTTAATATATTAAGGCATTATGTGGAAGCATACAACTCATATGGCAACATGGAGAATAACAATACGTTCAGTTTGCTGTTTGTTGACTGCAGATATCTTGGCAAATTTATTGCATATGGTCACTAATAAGATACATACTCCATTAGATTTGATGCAACTGAGCGCATTAGATGGTCATTTAATATGTAAATGGAACATTCATTGTCTAGGTCTTTTTGAAGCAAAATTCATGAAGTAATGAATAAAAGAAACTGAATTAAAACTTTGGTTGTAAATACCAGAAACTTTCTGAGTAATGAGAGAATTAGATGCATTATTGTAATCTTGTGTATTATGGCCACACATAGAAATATCTTCATTTTCTTATATAGTGAACATTTTAGCTTTTGTACAGTTGGCTCTCCATACTATTTCCCTTGATAGTAATGCAGGTTAGATTAAATCTGATAAATCCTAATGACTTGGTATTTAGTAAATCACAGTAAATCATGTATAGACTGGAAATTCCCATATTCCTTGATTCTTTCTCACATGGTTAGATGTTAATGATTTTATTTCACTGATGTCAATTATATAAGATTTTTGGCAAGTAAAAGGTATTTTTTATATACAGCTTCATTGATACAATATTTTAAGTAAAATGGCCACAGTTGATTAACTATGAGTACGTTGAATTTTTGTCAGTGGAGGGTTAATTGTATAACAGTTTATATACACAGAATTCATGATTTTGACCTCTAATATTTTATTCCTCATTGCAGATACAGACAATCAGCGCGTCATTCTCCAGATTACAGACATCAATGATGAGCCCCCATACTTCATCAATCGTCCCCTTCCAATGCAAGCAGTGGTCAAACTCAATGCTGCTCCGAACACACCAGTCTTCACTCTACAGGCTCGGGACCCTGACAAGGATCATGACATTCATTATTTCCTTGTCAGAGATCGAAGTAAGTGCATGCTTCATATCATGAAAAATTGTAATTTCTACCAGCTTAAAAACAGAAGAAACAAATGCCAGTAATAATGATATCAGGGGTTTAGTTCCCTTGTGTATCTACTTATTTATTTGTAAAATTTCTCTTTACTAAATATAATATTGATGAGATTTTTAAAGAGTTGCTGCTCATAGACTTGGCTTAATTTTTGAAGTGGCTTCCATTCAATTCTTTATGGTGAAGCTAGAAGGGCAGGTCTAATTAATCAGAGGCAAAAGCAAGAGACTGGTGCAGTATATGAACTAGAGAAGCAGCCCCATGGAGTGATGAGCAAACAAATGGAAGTCTCAGAGAGGAAATTAAGCGGAGCTCCCAGTCTTTGTTATCTCCTTGATGGCAGTCTCTCATCATCAAAGTTCATTTCACATTTTATGCTAGTTGAAGATAGTTGGCTATTTTTGAAACTTAGTTGTAGTAGGACTTCTGCTTGCTTAG